GGCTGGCTGTGGGGGAGGCGGTTGCGCAGCTTTGGATTCAGCGGCAAACGTTTGATAAGAGGGACTTTATTCTGAAAAGTCTCTTCTGCCTCCGAATGCATCCTTTGAGGTGGGGTGCCTTGCAGACGCATGGGGGGAAGCAGGTAGGGTGTGTGGAAGTTGATCTAAGAGGCCAGTTAATGCAAATTCGGAGTGGGGAGTTTTTGGGGGGCTGCTGAGACGCGTTACAAAACTGCGGCTGGGTGCAGGTCTCCACTGGGTTCCCCTGAGGACTTCCAAAAATCTGCCGGGTGGGCTTTGGTCTTAGGAAATCAAGTAGGCGAGGGCTTAGGGGTGAAATAACAGCTGGTACAGAGAGAAATAAACAGGGTGGCAAGTCCTGTGCTGGGAAGGAGTGGGAGGTAATATATGGAAATAGCCCAGGAAATGAGAGTTGGACGGCAGCGTGTGGTGACATGATCCAGTGCGTGGGGGGAGGCAGGGGATGCGGAGCAGCCCGGGAGGGACAACTGTGCCCGGGGAGGTCCTGGGGGTCTGGCAGCGAAGCACCATGTGTGCGACCCGGCTGCCTGTAGGATGCAGGCAGGGCAGGCAGGGACCCATCTGCCAGGACTGATGTAATTTTTGCCCCTGAACTTCCCTCTTGTCACCCATCCCGTTCCCTTCGGGGCCAATTACCTGAAAACCTGGCGCCGCTTTCGGCAGGACTGTGCCGGGGTCTATGGAAATACCTCGGCCGAGCCCCCTGAATCGGTGCAGCAGCAAACCCCGGGCTGGCTGCTGTCAGGCTTAGTGCTTGAGGAGAGCCCGGTTAATCTCGTTAGGGGGATGGATGAGCGGGGTGCAGGCGCACGAGGCTTTGAGGCAGCGCAAAAGTAGCAGACCATCTTTATTCGTTTATGCATTAACGTCCTTTGTTATTTCCAGAAACATTAGGAGCTATTTTCTGGCTCAGCTGCCGCTTCCCTTTTCCTTCTGCCAGCACCTGCCCCTCCGCACGGGCTGGGCTGGGGCAGAGGCAGGATTGCTGCAACCGCTTTGGTTAGAGGGGTGCTGATGAGACCAGATTTTGGTAAGTGCTTCCTCTGAGCCCGTGGTCAGCCCCGCTGCTTTTCTCCTTCTCCTTCTCCCCTCCCTGAGCCGTAACTGCTGCTGAGCCCGGGGCTGTCTCTCCCTCCCCATGCAGGGCTGCTCGCCGGCATTGCCCCTTTTCTGAGCCTGATTTTCCATTCCTCTCCCCAGGAGCCCGCAGGACGAAGCCGCAATCCTGAAGACCCTCCCTGGGTGCGGGGCAGGGTGCTGTGCAGCTGCGGGGCGGGGGGGGGTGTGTGTGCGGACAGCCACAGCAAAGCTGTGATGAGGAGCAGGATGTGCCCCACGGACACCTGAAACCTGCAACTAACGGATTTTGGGGTGCTGAGGCTGGCCAAAACAAGGATTTCTCGGGTCTCAGCCACAGCCATGGAACCTGATGGGGACAGGGACGTGACCAACGCCACCGTCCACGAGCTCGCCCTGCAGAACCGCTCCAACGCCAGCGCGCAGTTCACCGGGGTGCAGCTCATCCAGTCCTTCAAACCCCTCATCATCCCCTGCTATGCCCTGGTCGTCCTCATCGGCATCTTCGGCAACTACCTGCTGCTCTACGTCATCTGCAAGACCAAGAAGATGCACAACGTCACCAACTTCTTCATCGGCAACCTGGCTTTCTCTGACATGCTGATGTGCGCCACGTGCGTGCCCTTTACCCTAGCCTATGCCTTCAACCCCCAGGGCTGGGTTTTTGGGAAGTTTTTGTGCTACTTTGTCTTCCTGATGCAGCCCATGACGGTCTACGTCTCCGTTTTCACGCTCACGGCCATCGCCGTTGACAGGTAAGTGCCGGTGGGGCGGATGGTGCAGGGGTCCGGGTTGGTTCCCCTCAAATTCCCTCAAGCTGCTGCTCGCTCAGCTCGGAGTGTTAAATGCTAAACACTCGAAATCGGAAAAGGAAAAATCCAGGGGATAGTTGCAGGCTCTCCGCAGCCTTTTCTTCAGCATCAGCGCTCGGCCTCGGGTGGAGGAAGCGTAGCGGGGGTGTTTGGCCGGCTGTTGGTTTGCATCGGGGAACGATGTGCATTTTCATGCCTGCCTGTACGAAGCCATCTCCATCCAAATCCAGTCTGCCCGCAACCAGGTCCGTGCCCCCGGCAGGCACAGCTCTCGCACAAGGGCTCGTTGGAGTTTGCATCCAGTTCTTTGTACTTTGCTGGATAAATTTGCACCCAGATCATGCTGTGTTCTGGTCCATGCGTGGAGAGCACTTGTGCCTCCCTGAGCGCGCCCGGGCAGGGTCTGACGGGAGGTGGTTGATAAAAACCATGTTTCCATAGAGATCTCCTCTCATAAAAGATGCTCCAAACCCTGCGGGGGACGGGTGCGATGCCGGCAGCAGCTACGGCAGTGCCGAGAGTGCCTCTCATGCGGCTGGTGCTGGTTTGCCTCTGCCCCTGGGGTAGGAGCGGGATGGGAAGGGCAGAAAGAAAAAAGAAAAAAACCAAAACAACCCCCAAAACAACCAACCAAACAAAATCCCAAAGATTTGAGCGGAATAGCTGAGAAAACCTGGACTGCTGTCCTCGCCGGGGGGTTGAGATGTCCCCAGGAGTGCTGGCGCATTCTTCTTTCGCTCTTCAACAAAACCGTCTTTAGCTCCTGCCAAAGAGGCAGCCACTGAGTTATACTGTCCTCAGCATGTTCATAAAACATCACTGGGATTTATCGAAAATGGATGGTTTTTAGCCCAAATCCTCCGGCTCCAATGGGGAGGGGGGAAGCATGCAGCCACGCCGGGGCTCAGCACGAGCAAAGCACACGAAGAGCTGTCGGTGTTTTCCTCTGGGTACGGGGCTGCACGTTGCGCTACTGAACATGGCAATTTTAAACGTCGTGATAGCCAACGCCACAAACCAAGCAGCGGGCGGCGCGGGCTGTGGCAGGGGGCAGAGCATTTAGTATGTGAAAGAGCTGCGTGAAATCAAATGA